CCCTTCCTTACCACACACATACTGTTTTTCTTCAGAGATTATCATCACCTGATGTACAGTCATATGCTGCTTAATGATGGGACACATTCCGAGAAATGGGTTGTGGTGATTTTGTCATTTCATGAACATCATAGAGTGCACTTACACAAAACTAGATGGCATAGCTTACTACGCACGTAGGCTATACAGTACAGCCTATTTCTCCCAGGCTACAAACCTGTACAGCGTGTTATTGTACAAACAACATGAGATTTAATCAAGTACAAGAGAAAATGATGCAATCAAGAGATGTGGTAAACATGAGGTGCATGAACCTGCTGACAGCCTAACACAGCACACTATCGTACAGCACAGTTTTTTTTTTTAATAAGTAGAAAGATTACATGCTAAAAGAATGAGAAAAAAATACAGTACGATAAATATATGTCAGTAACATAGCTATTTATTATCAAGTGCTATGTACTGTACATAATGATATGTGCTATCCTTTTATAGAACAGGCAGCAGTAGGTAGACACCAGCATCATCACGAATACCCGAGTAATGTGTTGCTCTATGAATTATGACAGCTATGACATCACTGGCAATAGGAATTTTTCAGCTCCTTCAGAAGCTTATGAGACCACCACTGTAAATGCAATCAGCCATTGATCAAAAGGTTGTTATGTGGCACACAACTGTATTATTTATTCATTTGCTTGGTCTCTGTCCCATTGGACTGTAGAGTATAGTGAGCTCATAAGAGTAGGGGCTTTGTTTATTATAATATCCCTAGCACCTAATGTCTGGCACATGATCAATATTCATTATTTGATGAACGAACAAACGAATCCCCTCAGTTCATCCAGAGGTCCTTCATGTGTCTTTTTTACCCTGTACCTGGCATCTCACTGTTGCTCAGAAGATAGGAATCATGCTGAGGATACACAGAGATCTGTAGATTCTGCTCTTAGCACAAGAAGGGGTCTTGCTGTGAATGTTCACAAACCATGCCCTCTCTAATACACACAATGCTATGAGGTAAACTCTACTCAGACACAGAAGTACTTGGATAGACCACAAGCTAGATAAACTGATGCCAACCCTGAACTTATGCAGAGTATGGTCAAGACATGGTATGACTGGAAATTCCAGGCTAAAAATCTCTCTAATAAACCTATAATAATGCCTAAAATTTTTGCCATTATTGCTCAGTAACTTCAGATGCATCCAAGTATATATGTGAGAGCCAGAGTACATCTCGAGACAGTGACCAGTGTAGCTCTCTATACATGATCAGGCAATGTCAGCTCCAGAGAGACAGGCTGAGCCCTGGAGCTGATAAGTAGAAGAAAAACAGGTCAGCCCTGTATCTTGTTCCAGTGATGGCAGCCAAGGATCTGGGGCACAGGGTCCATGGCAAGAACCAGCTCAAGCTTAGACAAGGTTGAAGCAAATGTCACCCCAGGTCAGCCACTCCAGCAGGCTAAAGAACTGAGGCATCTGATGCTAACACAGGAGGCACAGAGCTGTGTTCCAAGATATTCTTGCCAATGGCTAAGAGAACGTGAAGCAGGACTCTAGCTTAGAGAGGAGGAAAATAACTCCCAAGCCTAAAGGAAGACTGGGGTAAAGGCAGGGTTGCCAGGCTGACTATTACATGAGAATCATGACAGAAACCCATTCCCACAGCCAGAATCAACACAATGGAACAGGAAGTCCTGGGCCCCAGAAGTCACGCCTACCATGGTTTAGGCTAAGACCTACCAACAAGTGAGACTGGGGCTGCCCATAAACCTCTTTGTAGATCCAGATTAGCTCGGGCACTGGAAAGAGGCTTCAGTGTAGACAGAGCCCATGAGTAGTGAGAAGGCAAACAGACAGGCCCACACTGCCTTACCCAAATTCAGCATTATACTCATCTCCTAAATGACCTGACAGGAGCCCGAGACGACTTTCAGCTGATCTAATGTCTACTGGGCAGTAAGGGATACACTGTCAAGTGTTCCTGCCACGATGCCAAGCTGGATTATGTCATTTTATTACCAGAATTCTCTTTTAAAATATGAGTCCTTATAGGGTGAGAAAAACACAAAATCAATTTTCTATTAACATCTTAGAGTTTTATTAACAGAGTTAGGGAGACTAGTTGTCTAGGCATATTCTGAGAGAATCAAAGGTTTAATTCCAGAACATAAATAAAAAGAACTAAGATCCTTTGAGACAGCTCAAAATTTACAAGTGAAATACAAAAATTCATCTAACAAAGGGGAAACCAAGAATCTCTTAGAAGACAGAATAAGAAAACTTTTTAATAAAATAAAATCAGCTCATTGTTGGAGAAAGACCTACCTCTTGGCCAAAGAGAAAACCATTCTTTTCTATACAAATTAATTAATAATTACAACCAAAATTATTATAAAAGGATAGTGATGTATATACATACATATACAAGCACATTTTCCTGCAGCCTCGTTCTTCAGAATTCAAAATGCCTTTACAGAACTTTAAATGGACTATTTAAAAGCTTATTAAAATTACTCTATTACAACACTGAAGAAACACTGAGGTCCTGGGAAATAGGCCTGTGGGTTCATTCACATTTTTATAGGGACATTAAATTGAAGGCTCTTTAATTTTAATTTTTTTCTAAGACTAAAAAAATTTCAAAGTAATCCCAATTTAATTTTAGAATTAAAATACTGCCATCAAATTAATTCATTTTAACACAAAGCTAACAGCCTCAAAAAGAGGAGGTTGTTAACTATCAACTCCTTTAAAATAATATCATTTCCTCCATCCTTTACACATACATATAAAATTATGGCATAGTGAATTTTCTATAATGTATGTAGATTTTTAAAGTGACTATAAAATGGAAACCTACAAAGTGAAAAAGAAAATTATAGACTCCAAACTCAGGATCCTCAGGGAGTAGGGGTTGAGGATAAGGCAGGGTTGGGGAGGAGCAGCCAGAAGTCCTCAGAGGCAATGGAAGTATCTTTTTGTAACAGTGATGGGGATAAAGATGTTCACTGCACCATTATTCTTCATACCTTATTTATATTTTGTAATCCTACTTAAAATGTTGAATAATTAACAATAACTATTTAGAATGTAAGTTTATGTAATTGTCACTGTAGGCCATACATAGAGGCATATGTAAATCAAACTCTCTTCAGAATGTTTTTTCAATAATAGTGTGAGTCAATAAGAGCATTTAATTTGTGCAGTAGCCAACCTATCATCGCATTTGACCACTTCCACATAATTAACTAACATTATTTTTCTAAACTTCAACACAAATACACTAGATTTTTCCCACTCTACACTGTTTCGTTCTGTTTAATTAAAACACACACACACACACACACACACACACACACACACTGTTTTTCCCTCAACTTCTCTGTTACTTTCACCATTTGTTTTGTTTTTAATCTTAATTTTTTTCTTGTTCTCTGAATGAATCTGAAGAAATGACAATGACTATTAAAAATATACAGCAGTACTATTTACATCACCCCAAACGATTATAAAATTAAAGTAAATATTTTGGTTGGAAGAGACCTTCAGTTTGCCTGTTTTGCTGTTTTTAACTGTGTGTTGCCAAAAGGAACCTCTAAGTCAAATACCAGGAAAAGACACTGGATACCCTAATATTTTTTAACTTCTCCCAATTCTACATTATTTTTATTCTGTTTTTGATTCAGTGGTAGAAATGTCTTAGATACTTCAATTAGGCTTTGTACCTGAAGTATTTAATTTGGATAAAGTCAATCCAACCTGAGAATTCCTGTGGTCTTTAAAGGCCAGCTATTTTCAAAGAGCATAAAATATACATTTGCCTGTCATTTGGTTATGCAAAGAAATAAAAATATTTTTTTTACACTGGAATTTTACTAGGCCTCCCCCAGTTAACTGTTATTTCATGGTGATCAGATATTCAGACATATGTCATTTAATAAAAATAGAAAAATTAATCGTATTGACATTTAGTGGTCTGGAAAAATCATTCAAAATATGAGGCCCATAAGGCAAAAACAATAAAAGTGGTCTTTTATTACTCATGTTTGCTTTTTAGCCAGATATGCTGCTATTTTAAAAATAATAATAACAAAGGCTAGGGACCACTGACTTGGAGAAATTCTATCTCCAATAGAAATGCTATCGAAAACTCCAGAGAATGTTGATTTCCTAAAGTTAAAAATTTACGTCAACTTTTTAAATTTTTTTTTTTGGCAGTTCAGTTCTCTGCGCCTCAATTTTTGTAAAAAGCATAAATCACGGGAGCTGTTAAGAGAAACAAGTATTTCATATCACATCTTCTTCCTGCTACAAGCCAGGTTAATGGCACTAAGGCTATTTCTATTTTCCACAGCTCCCAACTTCTTTTAAAAAACAAAAGGAGACCCTGCACTACTACCCTTACAAGTTAAATACTCTGGGTGCCTGAACAAAACTAAAAAGGATGACTTTACATCAATAACCTTTAAAAACAGATTAAGCCAGCCTTCCAAATAATCCCCTCTGGCCATGTAGGGCGGACCAGGGAACAGGTGCAGGGCATGCCTTCCTAGAGGCTGCCTCCTCCTTCAGGAATCTGACCTTTCTAGCAGGCAGGGCTGGCACCTCCTGAAGCAACTCTCAGGAGGTCTAACGCTGCTCTCCCACCTGCACCTTCCAAATGGCTCCTGTCACCAAAGGCTGAGATATGACCTGGCTCTCAGATGAGAACAGGTCTCCCAAGTGACTTGCCAACTTTCCCTGGAAGCATTTCTAAGTATATTCTCTGAGATCCCTCCTCATCCTCTCCATCATGGTTCATTCTACCTTCCTGCCCAGAACTTCCGAATGCCACCTCTTCATCCCATCCTTGCAATGCTACGGCTTCAGTCCAAACGCCTTACCCACTTTCGGGAACTGCTGATCCCCTCCTAGCCTGAAACCTCAACTTCAAATCCAAAGGCCATAGTCCAACAATTTGGGAGCCGGTTTAAAGTAATCTTGTCAATGCCTACCTGCATGCAGCTCAGGTATGGCTTCTTCTCTCGCCTTCTCCAGCTTCTCCCTGACCCAGGGAAACTCCTGGAGGGAATCGAGGAATGCATCAAATGCTTTAGGACCTCTGGAAGGTAGGATGTCCAGCAGCAGCATTGTTTTCCGGAGGCCTGTGGTTTGAGCTTTGATTTCTTGAACATGGTTTTCCGTCAAGACCCCTTCCTGGTAAAGATACTGAAGAACCAGTCCCTCCACCAGCACCTCTGCACCCAGCTCCAGGCGAAGGGAGCGAAGCACTTGCTTGTCTCTGGCCTCCATTTCCCCCTGGGAAGAGACAAAACGCAAGTTCAGATGACAGGAATGATGCACCCTGAAAGCTACCGCCCTGCAATATGAGCTCCTTAAGGACATGGACATCCTTTGAACCCTAGCAGAGTGCCAGGCCACGGTGTTTAACACAGGGCTGTGTTAATTAATTTCAAGTGTTTCTGAAAATAATTAGCAACATTGAACGTGAACCATTTGTCCTGTTCTTGCCTCCCACACAAGGGGGTCAATTCCTCCATCTATTAACAGATTGGGGGGGGGGGGGGAGACGGGGGAGTGGGTCAGAGACCTTGCTTAAAAAGCAACTTTTATTCGAGTATTACAGAGCGACGTTTCAGTAACATCATTGAGAAGAAACGGTGGGGAGGTTTTCAGCATTGCCTTCGGCAGCGTTGCCCCACCTCGGCAGACACTGCCTGTGTGGGGGCGCACGCGGTGCCCTTCGCACATGGGCATTGGCAGAGCCTGCTCAGCCCTGGGCGTGGGGACCAGACACCGGCAGGTGCCCATACGTTGAAGGATCTCTTACCCTAGGGCTGGTGGGCAAACTGCAGCTCACGAGCCACTTGCGGCTCTTTGGCCCCTTGAGTGTGGCTCTTCCACAAAACACCACGGCCTGGGCGAGACTATTTTGAAGAAGTGGCGTTAGAATAAGTTTAAGTTTTAAAAACTTGGCTCTCAAAAGATATTTCAATCGGTGCACTGTTGATATCTGTCTCTGTTGACGGATGAGTTTGCCGACCACTGGGCTAGGAGAAAAGGGCTTATCCACCATCACCTTCAAGAGTAACATGTAAGGGTTTGTGTCCAGTCTACTGTAAAACTTATATGGAGTCAGAGATGCCATCCCTTCCCTCAAAGAATTCGAAATCGCCATCGCGACACGGCCATGACCACAGGGGCAGGGGGCATTCAATGGGATTTCTTTTTCTGAAAAAGAAAACCGTCTACACGCCCGGCCTGGTGGCAGCCACGCAGGGTTCAAAGGCACATGGCCGGACCCTGCAGCGAGCTGGGGGGGGAAGGGGGGCAGCGGAGGGACCCGCAGGAGAGACCCGTTAGGTGAGGGGCGTGCGCTTCCGCCGCCGCCGGCGGAGCGTCTTCTAATCCTGTCTCAGCCGCTGACGCCTGTGGTGTCACGAAAAGGGGGGGGGGGGGGGGGCGCAGAGAAGTTTTTTCGGGGCGACCTGAGCCGCTAAAAAGAGAGGACTTGGAATGACCTTTAGAGCGGGGCCTTGGGCACCCCCATCGCCGCCTTAACTGGCTCGGGTCGCCGCGGGGCGAGGAGGCCCCCGGCCGCAGGCGCGGTGCGCGGGCCCCGGAGTAAAGAGGGGTACGGGCTCCTGGTTTCCTGTTACTTACGTCTGCGGACACGTATCTTAAAAAAAAAAATAAATAAATAAACAAAACTGCAACCGGAATCCAGGCTGTCAGGGGACCTGTACCACAAGCACCATCTTTATTGAAGGCAAAAACCGGGGCCGGGAAGCGTTGCCGCCATCTTTGTTGAGGGCAAACACAGGAAGTGCTTCGGCCATCTTTATTGTGGGTTCGAGTGCCCGGCTGAAGCCTAGTCCGCCATGTTTGCTGTGGGTAAATAACAGCCGCTTACTCATAGGGGTTATCTGACAACAAAATAACTGGGTAACTGCGTTTTTAACACAGTAACTACACTTCGGCCTTGCGCACAATTGAAGTAATAGGTCTCATAAATCATTTTTTTTTAATATCAGCGAGGCTCTCCAAGACCAAGACCACTCTATTTAAAATTTCAACACCCATCTCCTGCACTCCCACCCCCTTTACCAACTTTAGTTTTATCTGTAGCACTCAAACATCTTACTGAAACTTATACTGAATCATTTATTTATCATCTGTTTTACTCCAGGTAAGATGCAAGGTCATTTCTTTATATCACAGGGTTCCTGCCCATAAAGCATTTAAAAGTCAATCAGGACTCAGTGCACTAATGAGCTTGCTACACTAGACAGAAGGGGATCTGTCTGGGCAATCTGAGGACATTCGCTATAATGGGAAAGGCTGGAGAAGGCCTAGCATCCGAGCATAACTCCCTAAATAACACTGACAAACTGGCTCATGGCCACAATCAGGAAGATAGAATCAGGAAACTACTACCCTAATCGTTCCAGTCTTTTAACACTGATAGAGTAAGTGACCCCTGCAGAAAAACCAAGGTCTGCACAGCTGTATTTGCCAGCAGCATCAAAACAGAACCTGTACATCTTAGTTTTGATGTATGCAATTAGCATACAGAACATTAGCAAGTAAAGATGTCTGGGACATGAAATTTGAATTTTCCAGCTTCTGAAGCACAGAAAGGTATGCTAAAAAGAGAGGAACTGACACTAGGAGTAGATCTGCTGAACTCACCACATTTTAAATTTGGAAACCAAGATAAATGCATGATCCAAATATAAAGAAATATAAGAATGTCAAATTGAGGATCCTTCCTCAAATTCCTTAATGAAACGAGGCAGACATTCAATAAATACATTTATTGATTCACTTTTCAATAAATTGGATGGTATATACAGAAAATTGTACGTACTGCTAAAAATCGGTTGACAATATCAAAAAGAAACCCTTAACTATGGTTAGTTCCATAGAGGTTTTCCCAACCAACACCTCTAGTAGAAGATGAAAATCTCTTTGTAAGCAAATTAATGGAGAGCAATTCTAAATCTCACTCCTCAAAACCTCCTAATTTTTGTAACCAGATTAAAGTATTATACCAATCTACCATTTCACTATATCAGTAGAGATAATATTTTTACATCAGTAATGGGTATTAGTTTTATAACTAGCATTTTACATATGTGAAGAATGTGGAGTCAAAGTGGCCAAGTGTCTTAACCAAAATCTGATAGCTAACATATAGCAAAACCTGAACTCTAACCAGTTCTCTCTGGTTTCATGCTCTGTCCTGTACACAGTACACCACACAGCCTTGTATGGTGAAGAGCCTGTTGTTTTAACGACAGCCCAAAATATTGACAGATCATTCTGGTGCCACTTCCCACTCTTGATACTCTTAAGTGCCAGGTATTCTCTTAACCCTTTCCTTCCTCTTTTGTTCTGGAATTGCTGTACTTTCCTGGGCATGATTTCCTTTGTGTATGAATAGGCATTAGCAACAGTCTCTGTCTTTATACAGGTAAAGTACAAACCTCTTGCAATACTGCCAATAGCTAAGGTTACTGGCTTTTGGGGGAGGAAAAGCATGTATTTTTTCCAATTGCAAAGTAAATTTGGTGCTTTTCAAACATATAGTAAAGTTAAAACAAATAGCACAAATGCACTCATAAAAAAAACTACCTAGCTTAAAACACTTCTTGATGATTTGTTGCATTTGGAAAGGCTTTAGAACTCCTCATAACTAGGAGACATTGATGATGACATCCAAGAGAAGGCAAAGTGCCTACAGTGCGTTCCATGAGAATTCACAGAACTGAAGAAAAGAGAATAAGGGACGGCATGAGAAAAATTCTTGCTGGAGCTAAGGGGCATGGAGTCCTATGGTGAACAACCTGAGAGGTTAGCATTAAAGATCTGGATTAAGTTTATAAGGTGAAGTTCTTGGCCATCAAAATTCTCTTCTTATGGAAAAATGTAAATGAGCAGACATGCTGCTTCCTAAGCAACCAGACCAGCTCTCTGATTGATTACCCAGCTGCCATCAGTCAACTATTGGGAGGATCACCCATTCTAGTATACAGTGATATTTCTGAGCATCGAATGGTTCACCTTCACTTGCATAAATATCTAAGGCCAGCAGGCTCAGAAGGAATCCACAATAGATCAGAATCACTATCACAGGTGGTTACTCCTCCTCTCTGTTCAGTCCCTCTCTGTCAACGGAACTTTGCACCCACAGAGGATTAAGCACCTGTTGTTACCCAGTAGTAATCCATTTTCAGGAAGTACAGATATTATCATTTTTCTCTCTTCCTTACCATGTTTACTTGCATCAAGATATATATCCATTGAAAGATTGCAGGAGAAAGGGTCAAAAAGCTAGAAGAGCAAGTGTGATATTTTTCTCTTTTTCAGTTTGGCTTTTGACTTTACAACCTTCAAAACAAAACCCAAAGGAATTGGATATTTTTGTTTCTTCCTGCTTCATAGATGTGGAAACTAAGCCATGGAGAAAATCAGATTCATTTTAAGAATACTTGAAACAGACACAGAAATAGGTTATGAATTAAGTCACAAGGAAACTTCAATAGATTCCAAAAAAATCAACATCATACAAACCATGTACTCTACCATTTTACAATGAAATGGGAAATTTTTTTTAATATATTTTATTGATTTTTTACAGAGAGAAAGGGAGAGAGAGAGATAGAGTCAGAAACGTCAATGAGAGAGAAACATCAACCAGCTGCCTCTTGTACACCCCCTACAGGGGATGTGCCCACAACCAATGTACATGCCTCTGACCGGAATCGAACCTGGGACCTTTTAGTCCGCTGGCCAATGCTCTACCACTGAGCCAAACCGGTTTCGGCGAAATGGAAAATTTTAACAAAAGGAAAGCTTTCACGAATCCCATAAGTTTGGAAACTAAATAAATCAGCTCTTAAACTCTTGAGAGAGAGAGAGAGAAAAAAAAAAAAGTCACACATTTCTACTGGTACATCAATACAGAAAATAGTATGGAGATTACTAAAAAAAATTAAAAATAGAATTATTGTCCTAACTGGTTTGGCTCAGTGGATAGAGCATCAGCCCACGGACTGAAGGGTCCAAGGATCGATTCTGGTCAAGGGCATACCTTGGTTGTGGGCATATCCCCAGTAGGGAGTGTGCAGGAGGCAGCTGATCAATTTTTCTCTTACACTGATGTTTCTCACTCTCTATCCCTCTCCCTTCCTCTCTGTAAAAAATTAATAAAATATATTTTTAAATAAATAAATAAAAATAGAATTATCAAATGACCCAGTAATCCCACTTCTGGGTGTAGATTGAAA